AAACAGCTACTTATGGAGGATATTTATGTAGATTAACTAGATATTCCTTTCTTTTTTTAAATTGTTGTCTTTTTTGGTATAATGATTTGATCATATTTGGCCAACTTGTAAACTAAATTCAGTCCTTGACTCCAGAGACAGGGCTGTGAAGAGGTCTAGTGTGGCTATTGGTTCTGGTTAGGAGGAACAGAATAGCAGGTAATCACTGCACTATTCATTGAAATCAGTCTGTCTCTATAAAAAACAAGGTTCTAACCGCCCCCCACACCTTAACAATTCTTCATCAGTGAGATCAGAGACTGAGATTCCTCATACTGTTTATTCCAATGTACGTTTTTTTCCCAAGCAACAAATGTCATAATTTTTAACACCAAGACATATTAAAAGAGAAAAGACAAAATACATGTTGTCTCAGGTCTTAAAACACTTCTGTTAGTGAAAACTAATTTCCTTCTAGAAAGGAACACAACAAGAAAAATGTTTTTCAACTGAAAAGATACTTTATTCTTAATATACAAAAGTGGACACATTTCTCAAATACATATGAATGTATGTATGTTATTCAATGTCTTCTATTCCAGAATCAAGTTTTTCCTAGTCTGATACATAGATTGCTATGGCAATTACTGATTTTTCTGATTCCTGGAGTAAATTTAACAATGGGTAAAATTTTAAAAAGTGCCTAAAGGCCAGACTTTTAGAGGTATTTTGCCACCTAAAAATGTAGATGAGTGCCTAATGGAATTTTCAAAAGAGCCTATCTGTATCTTTATGTCCATAAACACCTTGTAAAGTCTGATTGCAAGTGATTTAGGTGTCTAAATCCAATTTTAAAACACACTTAAAATTACTTAGGAATGTAAGTCTCATTTGGGCCACCCCCAAGTGACTTAGGAGCTCTTTAAAACAGGATTTGAATCTGCTAAATCATTTAGGTGCTTTGGAAAATTTTTCCCATTGACTGTAGGTCCACCAAGTATGGTAGAAGAATCAACATAGTTTCTATATATTTTAAAGGTGATCTGCAAGGGGGAAAAGAAACTAAGACGAGGCTTTATTTTTCTTCTTTTTGATGCATAAGGAAGATCTGAAAGGGTTATTTTTTAAATTTTGTCTGCTTGTTCTTTATGTTAGTAATTCAGGTCCTGTCTAGCCTGAAAGACTCTATGGGCTTGTCTATACTACCTGCCGGATCAACAGGCAGCGATCAATCCAGCTTGGGTCGATTTATCGCGTCTAGTATAGATGTGATAAATCGATTGCTGAGCGCTCTCCCGTCGACTCCGGTACTTCACCAGAACGAGACGCGCAAGCGGAGTTCACAGGAGAGCGTCAGCTGTTGACTTACCGCAGTGAAGACACCACGGTAAGTAAATCTAAGTACGTTGACTTCAGCTACGCTATTCACGTAGCTGATGTTGCGTATCTTAGATCGACCCTGTGCGGTAGTGTAGACAAGCCCTATGATGAGTTAGCCTTGGTCTACACTATACAGTTAGGTTGACGTAAGGCAGCTTGTGTCAATCTAACTACGTCAGTGTCTACACTACAGCCTTGCTCCCACAGATGTAAGTGCCCTACTATGCCGACATAATAACTCCATCTCCATCAGAGATTTAGGTTGGTGTAGTTAGGGCGACACAGTTACTGCATTACTTACATCGGCTGTTGGCTGTCATTCTTGTCAATTTCACGGCTCCAGAAAGTCCTCCCTGCTCAGAGGCAGGCTGCACTGAGGCTCCAGGCTCCCTGTTGGGAGCCCAGATGGCTTCCTTGCTCCTGACAGGGAGATGAGATTCCAGGCAGCTGCCCCGGTCCCAGTGGGGAGCAGGGAGGTGAGAGCTGACGATGGGCAGTCGGCGTTCCTGGCTGGAGGCAGGGAACTGAGAATGGGGGAAAGGGAGCAGCTGACTCGGAGCCCAGGAGACAACTGTGCTCCCAATGGGGAGTGTGGAGCTGGAAGCCCGTCATGCTTCCAGTGGGGAGCAGGGAGCCAAGAGTGGAGTGGGGGAGCAGGGACAGCTGGCAGGGAGTAGGGACTGGACTCTCAGCTCCCCACACTGCCCCTCTTAGGTCAGTGGAAGAGCTGCTGGTGAGGACGCACACCACCGACCCAAGGAGAGTAGTGTGGACATGAACCGTTGCAGTAATTACTGCGGTGGCTGTAAGTCAACCTAATATAGATCGACTTACGTTTTTAGTGTAGACATGCCCATGGAGAACTAGTGAAATTATGACATATGAGCTAAAAAAAGTGAAAGTTGAGCAACTGAGAGACAAAGGATTTTTAGTCAGACTGTTTGAAACTGTTTTGTGTTTGTTTTTTGTTAATAACTTCTGTGAGTCATTAACATTTTGAATAAAAGACATTTTGTTAAAGATTCAGGAATGTTACTCCTTCAGTTAAGGTGTGTGACTCAAAATATACATCTCAGTATCCTTTATGGGTCCCCCAGCAAAAGCAGGGAGTAGAAATGCCTGATATTTCTAAAGTAAAAAAGCAAGCAGGAGAAATCAAAGTTAAAAAATTCCCAACTTTCAAAAGCCCTTTTTATAAACCATAAAGAATAAACAAAGGGCACAGCCCAATTTAAAACAGCCCTTTACAGGTCACCTTTAAGTCCTTATTTTAATAAACATCTTTCATTTATTTCCTCATTGACATGCAGTTACATTGGGAGGCCCCCTTTTCAGCTGATATCCTCAGTTTTGGTTTGCTGGTCCTTTGGAGGGACAGCATAGAACAGCAAATCATTCTCGGTTTTTCTTCATACCACCCCTTTTCGGTGAAATATTTAAAATAATGACCTCTGCCAGATTCATATGTCATAACTGGCTCAAGATAGCACTATGATCTATTTGTGTCTTCCATGTTTGGTTTCTGTAGAGTATAGCTTGTAAGCTCTCTTGGGGACTGGCCATGACATATTTGTCTGTAAAGCACCAAACACAGACAGTGCTTGAAAAGTAACTAAAATTAATACAGGTTGAACCTCTCTAGTCCAGCACCCTCGGAACCTGACTGGTGCCGAACCAAAGAATTTGCCGAACCATGGGAGGTCAATATGTAGCGAGTGGGTCTCTTTTTATTTTTATCTCGCCGAGGCGAATAAACGGAACAACGCTTACAACACTATCTAGCCAAGGCTTACTGGCTCTCTTCATAACAAAGTATTAGTGATGTTCCACAATTTTACTGTCTTGGCACAAGGAAATAAGTAGATAAAGCATAAAAAACATAAAATAAAATCATGCCAGACCACAGATGTTGCCGGACCAGAGAGTTCCAGACTAGAGAGGTTCAACCTGTACTGGTAAGAGGTCAGGGAAGATAGCAAAAATATGGGCTTACTCCGTTTTTTGCCTCTGTCTTCATGAACAAGGTCAGCTCCCAGACTGCTGCACTGGGCAGCATAGTATGGGGAGGAGGTGACTAGCCCTCGTGGAGAAAGAAGTGGTTCGGGACTATTAAGACAAGCTGGATGAGCACAAATCCACGGGGCCAGATGCGCTGCATCCGAGGGTGCTAAAGGAGTTGGCAGATGTGATTGCAGGGCCATTGGCCATTATTTTTGAAAACTCATGGCGATCGGAGGTCCCTGATTACTGGAAAAAGGCTAATGTAGTGCCCATCTTTAAAAAAGGGAAGGAGAAGGATCCAGGGAACTACAGGCCAGTCAGTCTCACATCAGTCCCTGGAAAAATCATGGAGCAGGTCCTCAAGGAATCAATTCTGAAGCACTTAGAGGAGAGGAAAGTGATCAGGAATAGTCAGCATGGATTCATCAAGGGCAAATCATGCCTGACTAACCTAATTGCCTTCTATGAGGAGATAACTGGCTCTGTGGATGAGGGGAAAGCAGTGGAAGTGTTATTCCTTGACTTTAGCAAAGCTTTTGATACGGTCTCCCACAGTATTCTTGGCAGCAAGTTAAAGAAGTATGGGCTGGATGAATGGACTATAAGGTGGATAGAAAGCTGGCTAGATCGTCGGGCTCAACGGGTAGTGATCAATGGCTCCATGTCTAGTTGGCAGCCGGTATCAAGTGGAGTGCCCCAAGGGTCGGTCCTGGGGCCGGTTTTGTTCAATATCTTCATTAATGATCTAGAGGATGGCATGGACTGTACTCTCAGCAAGTTTGCAGATGACACAAACTGGGAGGAGTGGTAGATACGCTGGAGGATAGGGATAGGATACAGAGGGACCTAGACAAATTAGAGAATTGGGCCAAAAGAAATCTGATGAGGTTCGACAAGGACAAGTGCAGAGTCCTGCATTCAGGACGGAATAATCCCATGCACTGCTACAGACTAGGGACCTAATGGCTAGGCAGCAGTTCTGCAGAAAAGGACCTAGGGGTTACAGTGGACAAGAAGCTGGATATGAGTCAACAGTGTGCCCTTGTTGCCAAGAAGGCTAATGGCATTTTGGGCTGTATAAGTGGGGCATTGCCAGCAGATCGAGGGACGTGATCATTCCCCTCTATTCAACATTGGTGAGGCCTCATCTGGAGTACTGTGTCCAGTTTTGGGCCCCACACTACAAGAAGGATGTGGAAAAATTGGAAAGAGTCCAGCAGAGGGCAACAAAAATGATTAGGGGGCCGAAGCACATGATTTATGAGGAGAGGCTGAGGGAACTGGGATTGTTTAGTCTGCAGAAGAGAAGAATGAGGGGGGATTTGATAGCTGCCTTCAACTACCTGAAAGGGGGTTCCAAAGAGGATGGATCTAGACTGTTCTCAGTGGTACCAGAGGACAGAACAAGGAGCAATGATCTCAAGTTGCAGTTGGGGAGGTTTAGGTTGGATATTAGGAAAAACTTTTTCACTAGGAGGGTGGGTTACCTAGGGAGGTGGTGGAATCTCCTTCCTTAGAGGTTTTTAAGGTCAGGCTTGACAAAGCTCTGGCTGGGATGATTTGGTTGGGAATTGGTCCTGATTTGAGCAGGGGGTTGGACTAGATGACCTCCTGAGGTCCCTTCCAAACCTGATATTCTATGATTCTACGTGTTCTTACTCAGGTAAAACTCCTATTCTGACTTCTGCATCAATAAGAAATGCAGGATCAGGTCCATTTAACATAATTTATAATGGAATAAAGTCAGAAGGAAACTTGTCTAATCTATAAGAAATATCATAATGAATTGTGCCGTGTCCTTGAAATCTTCATATATCCTTCAAAAATCATGTATGTGGAAATAATTCATTCTGTAATCAAGCGAACAATTAAAATCAAAGAACCGTTGATAAAGATAAGCAATAATTTATTCCTCTTTGATCTTCACAATTATCACATATTAGCTAGCTACATGACCAATGCCACTACATACCATGGGAGAATTGCCCATTTACACTTTACTTGGACAAATACAATTGAAATTTACAGGTTAAATGTACTGTACAATGGGTTGTTGGAAAAAGGTCATTCTTAGCTGTACAACAAGACGTGGCACGTGACTTATTAACAGATGCAATATAAGATGTAAAAGTTTAACTGCTTGTTATGCCAGTAAGTAAGGATACTGTATAAAGCATTTTGTTTTGGTATTGTATTGTTACTAAAGTAGAAAAAAGAAAACTAGAGAAATAAATCCAGATCTTAACTTACAATACATACATTAGGGTAAGAAATTAATTGTCTCCTCCATTTTTTTATTTTCTTTTTCTTTTTTATAGAAATGAATATTATGAATATATTGCAGAGTAAAGAAAGATTGCCAGCTAAAGAAGGTACCATTATGTGAAAAACAACTGAAAAATTATCAAGTAATTTTGCTTACAAAAAAGGTCAAACTATAAACAGTCACAAAATATATAAAAATGCCACCTTGAACGAGGCAATCGTACTCTACCTAAATTGGTAGTATACTCTTTGAAATAGTTGTGTTCATACAGTAGTAACTGATAAAAAGGCATTGTGCACTCTTGTCCCATCTGGAGACTTAGCACCATGTGTCATCAGTTCTTGGATTGTCATCCAGCTGTCCAAGATTTTCTTGTTTCTTTTTTTCATCATCTTTTTGTGACTAAGTTCAAGAATGTTAATTTCTTTTTTGCCCTCGCTGCCGCTCTGTGGACTTTCCTTAAGACACTCTAACCTGCTCCGCATCATGAACTCTCGCCGCCGCCTCTGCTCCTTGGCTCGCACCAAATGCTGCTTCCGCTCCTCTTTGCTCCAGTAACGACCCATCTTCATTTCGCTCATCGTATCATCATCTGTCGTCATCCCACTGCGCTCCTCTTTAATCTTTAAGGCACGTTCCTTCAGGATTCTGTCTCGCACTGGTCTCTTAGTGATATACCTTGTTCCATCACTCCTTATTTTCACTTTCCATTCCATTTTGGGCTCTGTACACTTCTGTGAATCTTTGCACATGCTCACTAGACTGAGCTGACTTTGGGCATACTCCACTGCGGATTTCTGTTGGATCAGCTGCATATAGCTTTGATAATGCTTTGCATGAGCAGGTATATTCCCATACCGGTATGAAGAGCTATGATATGGAGATAGGTAAGGAATGTGCTCAGTGCTTTGCTTCTCCTGCTCTGTGAAATTGCTACTTTCTGCAACCATTTCCTTCTCTTCAACAGTGCTGTTTTGCTCAGTGGTTTTGGATGGGGTTACCTCCCTACCACTCTGTCCAGGACACAACTGATTAGCTACAATTGTGCTTCTCAGGTTTTTCCTGTTGGTGATGCTGATCATTCTCTGGAGCGAGCTATCAGGGGACTGCTCTACAGTCAGTGGAGTGCTCCTGCAGCTTTCTGCTGTGTTGTAAGCACTAGAGCTGTCTTTGTCAGATTTCTCTGGGTGCTCTATGATATCATCCAGTTTACCTCTTTGTACATCTATGCTGGTGTTATAATTCCTGAATCCTCCATCATGTAATGCCCAAATGTCTCCATACTGATCCTTCACCTTTTGAAGCCTGTGAGCCTGCATTATATTCTGACACTCAAGCTCAATATTTCTCAGTTCCTCATTGAGTAACTGTAGCTCATGCTCCACCCCGTCTTGCTCCCTTCTGTTACACTGTATTGTACTGCTCGAGTAATACAGATCATACTCTCCGTGGTTTCTAATCTTGCACTTGAGCTCCAGCAGCTGCCGGAACCTTTCACACTCCTCATCTTGGTTTCCAATGAAATCAGATTCAATGTATTCCCCCGACACAAAGCTTTCATTGCACTGGAGTTCAATGCTTCCTAACGTATCCTGGCTCTGCCCCCGCTCCCGGGTGCTTTGCAGGGTCGTTTTGTTCTGCTCATCGGGTGCATTCTCCTGCTCTGAGCTCTCGTCATTACGCAGACTCTCATCTGTAGGCCCCACTCCACTGTCCTTCTCATGGTTATTGGATGACGAGGTTGCAGTGTCTGTTGTGCCGTCCTCCTCCTCATGCTTTTTTGGCTAAGAAAATAAGTGAACCAAAATTAGTAGAAAATACAGACTGTATTAAATTAAAATATTTTTCAGTCCTGTCCTTCTTAAACAACCAATTTAATCTATAAGAATGAATTAAAATGATGAACAAGTCCCATTTCTACTACAGCTGGCTGGAAGATGGAGATCCCTTTTCATGAAAAATTTCACATTTTGGAAAAAAAATTCAGCCTGATTCAGCATGAAAAGTCAAAAACATGATTTTTTTCACAGAAAGGGATTTCTACTTTTCAGCTTGCTGACTGCTTATCTGGAAGGATCTTGCATTTCACTTTCTCCCTGCAGGTGGAAATTGATAAAAGCCTTCCCCCAGCAGGCAGCCAGAGAGCTGTCATTTCAGTTTTCCTGACGGGAAATCAAAATTTTTCAGCAAACCCCAGCATTTTCTGTCAGAAAATCATTGCTGAGGAAAAATTCCCGACTGGCTGTAGTTCCTACACGCTTATGGCTTTTACACATTCCTGAGCATCATGCTGTAGGCTCCCCAGATCACACTAAGTTCCTCAAGGAGGGAGCAAACAAGTGGATGAAATATAGCACACCTGTTTCACTGAAACATTGCCCAGAGTCAGGAAATAAATATCCCCCTTCCCAGCAAAGCCAACACTTTGCGGTGCTGAAAGAAAATGAGCACCAGGTGGAGTGCAGCTTTTGGCTCTGGATTATGGCCACGACTATTGGAGCTGAGTTGTTGTCAAACCTGGAGCAACCAGCAATGCCTGCATAACATCAAAAAGTACATGAGGCAGACCACCTAAGCTGTGAGCAGTGCAATGTAGCATGGCACTAGGAGGCCTATTTGCAGTAGGACACTGGGGCTGGGATACCAGGGATCTCTGTGCACACTGCCCTGGCACAGCTGAAGACAACACAGTGGTTAGCCTATTCTTGCATAGCCCTTTCTACCTCTCCCATCACCTGCTTTTAGCATTATGTCAATGGAAGACTGATAGCTGAACTCTAGGACTTGTTCAGGTAACTTGAACAGACTTTTCCCTAACCTATCCTTTGGAAGGCTTTTTGTTTCCTAGTTAAAATCTACTTTCCACAATACTAACCCATAGCCTTTCACCATTAAGAGTAGAACAACACTGAGTGCCTGTCATGGACATAATGTCAAGCCTTTTTGCAGTTGTTTTTGAATTCATGTCCTACTCATTGTACCTAACCTATTTATTGTGTGCTTTAATGCAAAAAGCATTAGATATTGCAACGCTGAAGGGGTGCATGCTTTTTTCATTTTCTAACTGGGTGTGCTAAAGGCATTTCCCCCTATTTCTCTTATACCACTATCATCCAAAGTGCAATTTATATAGCATACTCACTGTATGCCTAAGTGCACCCAGCACCAGCCAAATGTGTTTTCTCCTTTAGGAGGTGTAATTACACAATTAAACATAATGGTTAGTAATAGTAAAGGGAGAAAAAGGTATAGTGCACCAATGAGAGGAAACAGAATGCAAGAGACCACTCTCATAATAATTGCTGTTTTTCTTCTACCTTGATAGATAGTGGAAGATATGAAAAAAAAAAATTAAATGCACCCTACACACACTGCATAATTTCTGCTTCAGGATCATGAACCCCTCAACTTGTCTCTTTTGTTCAGTTGTTAGTAGAAAATGGTGGCAACTGGTGGCCCAATGAAAAATAGAAATAGACAAATAGATAAATGAAAAGTGTGGTAGAGTATATTAAATTCAGAATGAAACCCATGATCAACAGAAAGCAGTATTTACGACAGGGCTGTCAAAAGTCTCTGAGGAGACAACATCTCTATCCGTAGTAATTTTAGTGGTTCTTTCTCACTAGCAGTTAAAACTTAAAAAAACAGTTATACAATGTCAATATGAAGGATATTTCACACAAATATACATACGCTCAAAAACCATATATGTGATGGTGAAATACATGCATCATCATGTGACAGTGGCCGACTGGTTCATCTGCATCAGAAAAATATTTCCTTCTTTCTTGCCCACCACCCACACTAATCTTCCCACCAGAATTGAATTGGTTTGAGGGGTAGACAGAAGATATTTAGTCCTGGACAGCTGACAAATTTAAGTCTACTATTTCATGACCCTTCATGGTCAGGATCTCGTGGAAGGTCCCAGAGTGCTGGAACTTAAAATTGCAATATTATTATGGACAGAGAAGTGTTTCACTGTAAATTTAGAGATTTCTAAAATTTAAAGGTATGTTTTTTCTTTCTGTCACAGGTCTTTACAGTTACACTAATAGCAACTAAGGAATCCTGGCTTTACAGGAAGAAGGGACAGGAAAAATAGTACCAATAACATTTAAAATAACACTGAAGCACTTCTAAAATTGTTTTTACTCTAAGATGTGAGGATTGCACACAGATTACATGCTGGCAGGCTGCACTGCTCTATTAAGACTTTGTTGACACTTCTTTGAGATGTCAGCAATGTTACCATTCCAAATGCATGCCAATATATTGTTTTTACTGCACCATCATGTATTTCTTGTCTATAATGTTCATTTAATATTTCTTTCTTTACTCATCTGATGCATGACTGTGACGGAAGACTTTTTAAGACTTGGTAAAATTTTCTAAAGTGGCTAAGTGATTTAGGGACCTATGCTCCATTTTTGCAAGTGACTTAGACACTTAGAAGCCTAAATCCAGTGGGACTAAAGACCAGATTTTCAAATGTCTTTAGGTGCTTAAACATGCAGATAGGTGCCTACTGGGATTTTCAAAAGGCACCTAACTCCTATGGAAATCAAGGAAGTTGAAATCAATGGGAATCAGGTGTCTAACCTGCTTAAGCAGTTTTGAAAATCCCACTAGGCACCTTTCTTCATTAGGTGGCTAAATACTTTTGAAAATCAGGCCCCATGCCTCTAAGTTTTTGAATTAGTGGATCTCATCCTCTCCTACCTGGCTTTTATTCTTTGATTGGAAAAGGAAGACAAGCTTGTCCCCCTTTTCAACTTCCAATTCATTTCTCAACTCTGAATACACTAGTTCAAATGAAGAAACAATCTCTCTACACCTGCTAGCTAAATTGAATCCAAAGGTTATTAAGGTAAAAGATTTTCTGAGAAAGAGAAACTGAAAATACTGACATTTGGCAAAATTTAAATACCAACATTTGCTCCATTGTGAAGAATGAAAATAATGTAGATACTTAATGCCGTATATGACAGTACCATTGGGACTCAGGTTCTAGGTGTCTAAGTCACTTTTGAAAATAGGACTTAGGCTGCTAAATCCCTTAGACATTTTTGAAAATTCCACCCATCATCTATTGAAAATGCAAGATTCAGGTTTTTTAGAATGTACAGTGTCAGTCTTCTTCCCAATTAGTTCTGTTTGAAAGGCCAAAAGGCTCTGTAGGCTGCATTTATGCAAAAAGAACTGCAGATGATGACAATCCCAACCTAGTAGTGCGTACAATCCAGCAATAAGTGAACTTCAAAAGGTTCTGTGTTTCAGATTGGATAAGATTCAATATTGCAAGAATGGCTAATTATGCTGGAATGCAGGCATGGTTCCCACTCTGATTTTACAACTCACGATACACTTGGGACATAAACCCAGAGTGCTATTTAAGTTGGAAGCAATCAGATAAGAGAGATCCAGGGGAAGGGAGCAGGGTTAGTAGGTCCTGCTTCTCCAAATCAGAAGAGTGGGCTACCCGGTCCCCCTACGAAGATGAAAGCGAGACTGACAGTGGTGTGAGGAGTTGCCAGTGATGGGCTAAAGATGAGATACCCCAGCCTCGACTGGAGTTTTAAAAAATATCCCGGGAGTTTATAAAAAAATTAAAAACATGTGAAAATCAGTGCAAACAATTAACTTCACCGTTTTCTGGGTAAATATCAGGGTTAATATTGGGGGGCATGAGGACAGAAAAAAGCTACAAATAGAGAAACGTAAGTATTTACTATTTATGAAACCATTATCTCAAATCCCCATTACAAAAATTCAAGTTTTTTTAAAATAAAGAGTTTATTGTAGATGACTTGTGCAGTTAGCTTGATATAAGGGGTTTCAATAGCACCGGGATGGGACGGGAGTGCTTGGCACTCATCGGCAGGTAAGGTTGGGAGGAGAAACAGATCAGGAGGGGCTGTTCTCCTAGGTGCAGCGTCCCACTCCCTGCGGCCTGTAACTGCAGCAGTTGGTGGGCTCGGCAGGCTCCCTGCCCATTTTGTTCCTCCCCTGTGCAGCCGCAGCATCAACCAAGTAGTTTCCCTTCCCTATGCAGGCATGCTGTGCTGTCCAGTGGGGAGCCTGCAAGAGGGGAGCTGGGATTGCAATTTTGAGCAGGTAAAAATCTGGGTGGAAACTGGAAAAATCCAAATACTGGATTTTTTGAAACCCAGGAATTTTTCCAGGGGGAAAAAAAAAAAAAAAAAAAAAGGAAAATGAAGGGTTCTACTTCAATGACAAACTAGATGGGACTCTTAAAATAGGTCTGTTCTGAAAACATCTAGTCTGACATCCTGCATAACACTGGCTATAGAACGTCCTCAAAATAATTCCTGTTTGAACTAGAGCACATCTTTTGGAAAAACATCCAATATTGATTTCAAGATGTCCAGTGATGGAAAACCCACCAGGATCCTTGGTAAATTGTTCCAATGTTTAATTACTCTCACTGTTAAAAAATTATTTCCAGTCTGAACTTGTCTAGCTTCAACTTCCAGCCACTGGATTGTGTTATACTTTTGCCTGCTAGACTGAAGAGTCCATAATCAAACATTTGTTCCCCAGGTAGGTACTTCTAGACTGTCATCTTGTAATATACATAGTACTATATAGTAGCAGTGCACTGTATAAGGCAGTAATTTACATAGCAATATATGTACCATATCTTGTACAATATGTCCATATTGTCTTTATCACAATGGGGCCCTGTCCTGGCTATGGCCTTGACAGGTGACTCTGATATAATTCATAAATAAAAGTGACAATACACAAGACCCTGTATGTAAAAGGGCTTGTAATATTGTGCTGACAGAAAATGCAGAATCAGTGCTTTACTCCTCTCACATTCTGCTAAAATGTTACCCTCTCACATCCAGCCTAAACATTTATTTCTAAAATGTTTCCTTATCGAGAATGTATTGCAGTTCAGAGCATCCTCATGACAAAGTGCTATCAAAGCCTTTGATTCCATTTTTTGACTTATTTCATTCTCTCTTAATAGAAAAATACACCTAGCAAAATTTCCAATGATACATTTAGTGTCACTCCTACCTGCTCCACCTCATTGGCTGTGAACTGCATTACTTCATTATGCTGTTCTTCCAACATTTCCAAGTTTAACTCCTCTAAGAATTCATTCCTTTCATCATCCAGCCACCCCTCCTCCAGCTGCAAAAGAATACATTAGTACATTGCATTATGTTAGTGGGGATGCATGCTAAAATAGGGTAAACCCAAATGGCAACGCCTGACTAGTTCTTTTTATCATAATGATTCTCTTCAGAATACCAGGCTCCCATAGTTCGCCTCTCCAAAAAGAAAAAGATGATAAAACACAAAACAAAACACAGGGACTCTTAGGCCTTTTATCCTTTCTTGAAACAGTATGACTGATTTTCTCTCATAATGAAGGAGATTGCACAGCACAGAGCATTATTTCCTTTCAAAATGTATGAAAGGCATACCACATAATCCTGGAGCTGTCATATTCATTACCTCCAAGAGCCCCAATGTTAAAAGAACTGCAATGATACTAATAGGGCCATGAGATAATTGGGCTCTTTCCTCCTTTAACAACTTCCACCCCAGGGTTGTGTCCCAGTGCCTGAACCTCAACAGCACCTTCACTCTGGGTTTCCATCACATTTCTCTTATTGCTCTTCCACGTGAATGAACTAACAAACAAAAAGGGGGTGGGAGCACTGACTGATGCAATGACTAAACTTCTTTGTTCTTTGGCTCTATCTTTGAACTGACTTTTTTTTTAAAAAAGATTAAAACATTACTTTCATATTCGTTGAAGACAGTATTATAAAAAGAGGAAAATGGAGGCCTACTATTTCAGTCAAGTTAATGAGATGTGGCTGTACACACATACACAGTATTATGTGCATGTGCGTGTCAACAGTAAGTCTCCATTTGTGTTTCTGTTCCCTTTCCAGATGGCATGCTGGGGTAAAAAAGGAAAATACTATCACTAGAAGGGGAATGAAGTAGTGTTGAATGCCTGCTAATGGCAGTGTTTTAGGGGCAGAAACAGGTAACAGAGAAGGAAGGTGACAGAGCTGGGGAACGGCAGAAATTAAAATATTAATTACACTACTCTAGAGTCTGAGAAAATATCAAGTTACCTGTAAAATTTTATGGACATCACAGAAGCTAGAAATAGTGTAATTGTATGCAACAATGCAACATGGAACTAAGTTCTTTTGTGTTGTAAACAGGGACAACTCAATTGAAGCCAATGGACCTTTGGCCCAGAGATACTAATTGGTTAAAACAACAAGCAAGTAAAAAAAAAAAAAAAAATCCCTCCACAAACCAGCCAAACATTAGACAGGTATAAAATGTTGATTGAGATTCTGTGGCACTTTTTACCATATTATGGTATCTACTTAGAACATCAATGTTGAGGTTTCATTCATGGTTTTTCAAATGCTTTTATTTGTTATGTATAGTCAACCCTTTGACCTTATAAAGAATATAAACTCCCAAGTTTCACAGCACAAGCAAACCACTAACTGCCTTGGATTAGGAAGAAATTTCCCCTATGGGCAGATAATTCAGCAATTGTCCTTCGGAGGATTTTTATACCTTCCTTGCAAACATCTGGTGCTGACCACCGTTGTGGACAGGATACTGCAGTAGATGGAGCACTGGACTGGTCTGATCCAATATGGCAATATGTGCACCGATGTATGTGCATGTGTGCACACACACATTTGTTTCACACGGTTATTTGTGTATGTTTCTTGTACGCTCAGTTTTTAATATTAATTGATTAATAATCAATGCTGACTAGTCAGAGAAGCTTGTCTTGTTAGTTATTGGATGTGGCCAGGACTTAATCCTGCCCTTTTTTCTCCAGTGAGTGTTTGCCTTAGTAAGGACTTGTCTACAAATGAAAGCATTACCAGTTATACCAGTATAATTATAACGATAACCGGTATATAGTTAAACCGATATATTATACCAGTATAAACCCCCCTTGTGGACACTCTTATTCTGGAATAAGTATGGCTATTTTCAAATTTGCTTAACCCCCTTCCAATGTGACATAAGATAAACTGAAAACTGGCCCTCATATATTGGAATTAGAGTGTCCACATGAGGACTTATACCGGTATAACTAGATCAGTTTAAACTCACACCTTGGCTTGTACCGGTATAACATTCCTATGAAGACAAGCTCTGAGAAAGGCGGGATCAGATCTTTCGTTGGGTTTCTACAACTGGGTCTGGCAGGTGGATCCCTGTCCCTGCAAGAGCCCCACTGAAATGAAATTAAAAAAAAAAAAAATAGCTAGAATCCTCACACAAATCTTTGAAAAGCTTCTGAAGGGTCTCTAGACCAAGAAGGGATATAACCTAGCTACTTACACCTGAGGTGAATAGCTTAACTCTACCTTAATATATAGCCAGTTTTCTAGGAGCCATTTAGAAAGGCTAAGAACATAAAGGAAATATATGCTGAAATTGGATCTTGCATAACTACTGGATTCAAGCTGGGATTCTGGGTGACACTGAATTACATTTATTCAATTTAATGTGAAGAGAATATGTAGTCACCAAGTCTGAAAAAATCAGATCAATAATATGAGAGACAAATGGTAACATAACCGACTTCGCTTGGACTGCTGACAGATGGAGAGAAGAGTGACAATGTAATGTCCTTTGCTGCTTTGTGTTGGGATATAAAAGGAAGCAGAAATAATCCTCTTTCCTCTCCTTTACCTTGATGATTAGCCTGACATCTCCCACTGCAAAGATATAAAAAATTTCTTTGCAAGGCATCAGTTTTGTTTAAAAGCCGGAAGTATATTTTAAAATTGTGTGGGAAAAATATCTATTTTCTATTAAATAATTTGTACTTGATGAGAAACCTCATGCGACCAGTTTCCCTTGAAAACAGTTAGATAGGAGTAAGTTTGCTGAATAGCATTGTCATCAAATGCCCATTATCAAGATCTAACTGGAGAGTTTACTGAAACATTGCTTAAAAAAATAATCCTCACCCAGGGCCCACTTCAATCCTGCCATAAGCAGGTGCAAACCATGGAAGAGTGTGAATTTAGTCTCAGAAATCAGTAAGAATCATCAACCAATAAATATGTCTTTTTGAAGTTCCACTTCACATTTAGTTAAGTATCACATTAGTACTAGATAATCAACTGTATTTATATGTATGTCCATTGTATTTACTTGCAAAGAATCTTTTAGCAAGTACAATGGTAAACAAAATCCTAGTAATATAATGTTATTTTCTTCCTGAGGCTACAGATTGGCAAAGATCTTTAATTATATTTTTCCCATTTTTTTCCCCCATGAACCTCTGCAATCCTGTTTTTCAGTGTTCATTTCTTATGGATGACAATGACTGTACACTATAACCCAGCTCCTGGCTCAGTGCATCTATTTATTCTAACCTGCATCTCTGGTCTTGCAACCAGCAACACAATTTTCTTGCATTCATCACTGGAGAGCAATGCCACCGCCTCCTCCCGATTCTGGACATCTTGGCCATTTATCTAGAAAACAAATGAAAGTGGCACATTAGTTTCCATTTCCACAAAGCAACACACAATAAAGGGCAAATATCAGCTCATTTGTGGTAAATGTATGGACAATGAAACTCACACAATGGGCTCATCTTCAGCTCCTCAGTGGTAAGTGCCTTCACTCAATTATGCGTTTACTGTAAGAGCTGTATCGATCGTTGAAGGATGGCGGACATCAGAGGAAGCAGTTATGTTCATAAATGTCCAACCTGCGCCCTAGCAACATACATCTAGCAACACAATTAACCAGCCCCTGACAGGTGACGTTCATCTTTCTCTGTTCAGAGTAATGGAAGTGTCACTCTGAGATAATAGTGCTGGTGGAAGCAAGACTGGTAATACTACAGCTGAAATCAGTCATATTGTATGCTTGTAGAGAGCCAATTAGAGGGCTACAGTATTATCTCTCACCAGGCAATACTTACAGGCCACTGCTGATTGCTATTTCATTTAATCATTTTATATTTGTGTGTGTGACTCGGTGTCCAGAACCACACAAAACATCCCCATTGGGATAATCAAAATAAAAAATGAATCATCTGTAAAAACCTGTTTTCTCTCCAACTTCTCTCTGCAATTCTGCCTTTGTGTTAAAAACAATCATATGAATAACTATACCTTAATGTATAGATTTTACAGGCCCATTCAACTCTACCTAAAAATGCTGTTTAAGAAAAATCAAGTTTCAAATACAAAGCATTTTCCCCCCTAAAAACAACACACTTTGTTTGTTTCACAGCACAAGAAGTGGATTTTCCTCACTGTGCCAAACTGCATTGTCAAAAAATATTTAATCCATCTGAAAAGTAATGGGGACAGGCTGGAGGGCAAAGGATTTTAATAATTTTGTAGAATAAAAAGGTTTTCCCATATCCAGCCTGGTTAATCCATCTCCTTTTGCAGGGGTTCAGTTTCAAAGCTAATAGCAGGAACTTCCTGGTAGAAAAATACCAAGCAAATGTGCATGTGCACTGCCTGAACACATTGCTTTGAAAAACCAGTTTTAGTTTAGATTAAATAAAACCACAGATATGCACTGAGTGTTTGCTTGGTTATCACCAAAGTCTTTGAGATTCCTCCATGAAGATGTGGAGGGAGCAAAGTGTGGACTGCAGGAGAAATGATACCCACTTCCTTGTACACAGCTGCCCTCATCAATATACAGATACAGGCATATACAGAGACCAAGGACCAGATGCCTCAGCTAGCGTAAATTGGCATAGCTCTGTGGTACCAATGTCAGTTTATACCAGCTGAGGATCTGGCCCATAAGGTCTCAGCATGCATCTTGAGCTGAGCGGCTTAGTGGCTCAAGACAGATCATTACATGCTAGAACCTGTAGTAGCTGCAGGCTGCACTATCATAGTAAAGATAAAAGTGACTCCAATATGCCTTATTTTATCACCAATTAGTTGCCTATGTGGCCCTCATTTATGCAGAGTTTGATGTCCATGGATGAAATCAAACAAGGACTAACCAAGATCTATGGGACCTTCCTTGTACAGTCTATTCTCTTTATTTTACAGTGCGTGCTGTGTGAGGTAAACAGACTATGCTCAGCTACTTAAGAAGACTATATAGGAGACAGGAGTTGCTGTATGTAGTATGCTAGTATTTGAATTATCCTGGAAAACATGAGGAAAGCTGCTATATTACTGTGAAAAGTATAAAAGCAAGCATCCCCAACACTGCGTTCTCCAGACCTGAATGCAATCCCTTTGTAATGATATTGTCATCTTCCATTTCTCTGAGTTATCTCATCCATAAGAGTGGATGGAGGGTCAGTGTGCCTTCGGCTATGAAAGAAAACCTCACATAACTCACCTGGTGTTAATCTTAATGATCAAACTTCTGGCTGCATATCAGCACTGACATTCAAGTAATGCTATTAGTCTACAAAAATGCAATAGAATTACCTACAGTCTTCTCTCACCTCTGGAGTCTTCACTCACAAGTGAATTGAGTTTGATGGTCTCAAACTAATATGTATTAGCTGTCTGCCTATACTGTGCCTGGCACTATAATTCACCCAGAAACGTTAAAAAGAAAAGAAAGTAGCATGGAATGAATCTATCATCTACTTAAAATACATTAAAATGCCTTAAAGATGGGAGTCCACAGAGTTTTAGTCTTGTTGAAAAAACAAGACGAATTCATTTCAAATGTAGTTTATTAAAAAAAAAAAAAAAGGAAAATCACCAACATATGTTGTTCATTGTTCTTGGAGGACTGATTATAGACAGATGTAGAAGCCAGTTCATTTGCTTTTCAATTCCTAATCATATCTCTACATAATCTCACCGAACTAAAAGACTGTTGTCCTTTTGCAGTTATACAAACATTCTTTGTGGGCAATTCTAGTACAGTGAATTTTTTTTTACATTCTGGACAATACAGAAAATAAAATAAGAGCTCCTACATGAGCCCTGACATCAAAATGTAACTTATTATTTCCTTTTTGAAATAAAGGCCGCTTTAGACAGCCATCTTGTAGATCCTATTGTGCGCTGGAGATTAGTTTGATTCACAAAGCCAATACTGAGGTAAGAAATATAGCTATGGTATTCAGCAAATATGTTTCCTGTGGAAATGGAAAGACTGGAGGGATGGAATCAGATTGATTCTGCAAAATTCAGAAAACTCATGAGCCTAAATTAATTATTGGCAGTTATAGAGCTGTTTGTGAAGATGCAACTTGCCATTACCAGCAATTACCACTAGGGGCATTAGTAAAAAGAGGTCAAAGTACAAGGAAAGTTGCCTAGAAATGAAGGGAGGGAACCGAAAAACACCAGTATAACAACAAGAGAAATTCTGAACTTCTGATTTTGGTAGTGGCGATCCATGATTTCTCTAAAACTTCCTCTTTAAGTCCAAACTGAAATCCACTGTCATTCTAGCTATTTTCCTCTTTTTACAGTTAAACTACTCTCTTTCCTGACCTAAATACCTACCCATAATTTGCCCTTTGACTGAGCTGGGAGGAGATAGATTTCATTCGAGCCTGTAAGACTTTCATTAAAGGGACACTCTCAGATTCAAAATCTTTGTCCCAGGAGGAAACCAGCTTCTTTCAGTGCTGAAAACTTGTAATCAAGTCATTGCCCACTCCTGACTTTGCCTTCCCCAAGGTTGGAGTTTAGTCTCTCTCCCAACACACCTGTTATTCACTGTCCCAGCCAGTAGATCTGAGACTAGCAGATCTTAAATAAAAAGGTGGGGTTACATCACAATTTTGTACAGTAGTTCAAACTAGCTAATGTGTAATGTCTGCTTGTTAAAAAGAAAGTGAAACGCATTCCTTTTTGAATACCAGTTTAGCTAACATTTCTTCTCATCCCAAACACACACAAATCAGTCAGTTCTCCCCTTAAGTATCCACTTGTGAATCACAGAATCATAGGACTGGAAGGGACCATGAGAGGTCATCTAGTCCAGTGCCCTGCACTCATGGCAGGACTAAATAGATCTAGACCATCCCTGACAGGGGTTTGTCTAACCTGCTCTTAAAAATCTCCAATGATGGAGATTCCATAACCTCCCTTGACAATTTGTACCAGTGCTTAACCACCTTGATAGTTAGGAAGTTTTTCCTAATGTCCAACCTAAACCTCCCTGGCTGCAATTTAAGCTCATTGCGAACAATTTTTCTCCCTCTTCCTTGTAACAAACTTCTATGTACTTGAAAACTGTTATCATGTCCCCTTCTCAGTGTGCTCTTCTCCAGAATGGATGTCTTCAAACACACAGGGAGTGTTGTTGGTTTGCCCATTGCCCATAAAATATTATGCACCTAAATCTTCAGTTTGGCTAACAAAACACTTGTAGGCCAGCTGTTGGGCTACAGAGTGCTCTTACTACCGGCCCACGTTGGGCCAGCTCAGCTGGGTTGTATAGCTTGGTGGGGGCCCAAATCTGAGGCTCTGATCCTTCCCCAAACTCTTTGCCACTTGCTTGAGAGGGAAGGGGAGACCTATGCATAAATCCTCTGTGGTCCTCACACAGTGCTTCCATCTCTCATGATTTTATTGCAAGTCCCACGATATTTGCTGTATTTCTTAATGCCTCAACTCCTGGAGTTAGGTGAGAATGTCAGTTTTCATTAACAACCAGCATCAATTTCTCCCCCTTCTGGTCACAGAGGAAAGCTTGAAAACGGGAGCCCAAAGGCTCAAACCCCAGAAGGCAAATAAAAATTGACCAAAATGTATTATTTTTAAAATTTTGTGATTTTAAGGCTAATCTCATGATTCTGGGGCGGAATGACTCATGATTTTTAAACACTTGGGGTTGGCAATGCTCTTCACTACATCTGTAAAATATTATTTGGGCAAAAAAGATTGAGCAGAATCTATTTAAATAAGAGATACAAGGTACCTTTTGATAGCACACAGGTACAAATACATCCAGACACAGTTACCTGTCCTACTTAGTTTCTAATCTATTTTACTTTCAGGTTCTCATGTATTAGCAATACTGAGTTGTGAACCCTCCAGAGGGAATATTTGTTTCCACTGGATCTTAAAAATAATAATGAAAACATGTTGGTCTGAGGAATTCTAAAAAAGCTCATTTTTACAAAGGCTAAATCTGGGGCCAAATTTAACCTCAGAGTATCCCTTTAATGCCACTCTGTTGTTCAGACAGAGATTTTCTACAGCGGCATGACTGCCTATCTCCTGTATTATTTGCAGTGTTGGGAAAGAAGAACCCACAGGTTAGTTCCTTAACATGGAGAACATAAGAATGGCCATACTGGGTCAGATCAATGGTCCATCTAGCCCACTATCTTGTCTCTGACGGTGGCCAATCCCAGGTGCTTCAGAGGGAATGAACAGAACAGGCAATCATCGAGGGAGCTATCCCCTGTCATCCACTCCCAGCTTCTGGTGGTCAGAGGCTAGGGAAACCCAGAATATGGGGTTTAATCCCTGATAATCTTGCTTAGTAGCCATTGATGGATTTATCT